AGTTTTACTGTCATGTCATTGATAATATCTAGTCATGTTCTTCCTGGCCATGACTAGACATTATCAATGGTACTGCACAAACGTCTCTCAAGATGCAACTCCACTTCCGCAACTTACCAGTTCCAAGGTACAGTTTATGTGGCAAGATAATTGCAACTTAGCATTTAATTGACTCCAAAGGATACTGACCTCTTGATCTTCTGTTTGTGTCTTACGTCGACACCACTGAAGTGGCCACTGGATCGGTATTCCTACGACACTCACCAGCCGTCGAAACATTTTTCATCTCGTTCGTACTCACCTATATTTGAGTATAGACGTGTGTGTGTGTGTGTGTGTGTGTGTGTGTGTTCCCGTCAGAAGTATCTTGAGCAAAAGTCTATTCAAGAAACTTCAATTTTTTGCTTGTTCTCCTTTTCATCCCCATCCCTTTTCTTCGTCTTATTTATCATCCTCATCAACTTTTCCCCACGTGCTCTCACCTGGTGAGTCGGTGGTAATTACAGGCCAGGATGGACTACTAAATACCTCTCACAAGCTTCCCTTGTGACTCCCACCTTTGATGGATTCCTTATAACTGCCTCACTAGACACTCTTATTTTATTTTGCATTGCAATATATATATATATATATATATATATATATATATATATATATATATATATATATATATATATATATATATATATATATATATATATATTATACTCTCTCTTCCCCAAACTCCAAGTCCTTAAAAACCTCAGTTTGGAGGATCTTCCTCCTTGCATCAGACAGATTGAGACCAATCTCATCAAATTTGGGCCTTGGGCAAACCCTCCTTCCTTGCCTTTCCCCTTCTTTCCCCACTTCCCTCCCTCGCTCACTTCCCTTGTTTTTTCCCTCTCATCCACAAATCACTCTTTATCCTAATTCCTTCTTCTCTCTATCTTCTTTTTCTTCCTCCCCTTTCCTTTCTTCCCCTCTCTTTCTACGTTGTTCTCTCCTTCCATCACCTCCTCTCCTTGTGTAGAGTCTCGCGTAACATCGCTTTGAATGACATCACTGTAACATCACCTTCAATGACAGCACCGTAACATCATCATTTTTGACTAACGGAGAAACTTTCATGGTCCAGCAAACAATGAAATGGAAGCCTCCAATTGAGGTCCTCCTCAGGAGATCTGCTGCTGTTATCTTAATGAGTGTTTATTACGCTAATGCCTTCATAAGATGACTGCTGATGGCTGAAGAGCCTGCGGGTGGCGGAATTCACGTTTCGCTCCAAGAGAGCAAAATGTTCTCCCAAGTGGCTGTTGATATTGTGAAATTGTTTGGCATCACTGTAGTTGCACCCAAGTGGCTGTTGATATTGTGAAATTGTTTGGCATCACTGTAGTTGCAGGTTGAGATTTTTGTGGTGTTTGTGTTTTAAACGTCTTGCGGAGTTTGCTGTTAAACATCAGTTTATGAGGCTACCATTTCTGACATTATTATGATACTATAATCAGCATCATCATCGCTCTTATTTATATAGTCATCATACATATGTAAATATTATGATACTCTTTTCTTTGTTTGACTACCTGATACCACGATCTGCACCACACACTACCACAATCACACTACCATCCACCATAACCACCCAGCATCGCAACCTTCACATCCCACTACCAACCATCATAACCACTCAATATCACCCACTACCACCACCACCACAACCACCAATTATTCACCACATTACCTCAGTTACATAATAGCCTCAACCGCAACCCTTACAACAGACATCAAAGAAAGTAACAAGAACGTTAACAAGAACACTGACAAATGACGATGCTATAACAAAAACATCACAAAGGGACATAAAACGAACAACACATCGTAATAAATTTTCCAGAATATATATTTTAATGAAGACATTCATCAATAGGAAAAAAAACTGGTTTAAATTGGGCAATAATGTGACATTGACTGCATGATGTGGTTTAATAATTTGTGTGATAAGAGTTTAAATGAACCGGAACAATGTGTGTGTTGTCCACTTGTGGTTGAACTGCTTATTAAGCAGTTGTGAGAGTGCAAGTGCAATGAGTGACTTCTGTTACGCACTCTTTTTCTATTAAATATATATATTATTCTGTATATAATTCTATATATGTGCATACATTGATATTCGGAAAATTCGTAATGGACTAATCAATAAATTCACGTGAATGGTGTACAATAGCTGTATGATGGGTATCTTTATATGTTAATCAGTTGTTGCACGTGTGTCTAATTCCTCAGATACACGTGAAACTCAGCGGAAATCTAATCCGAAGCTTCTTGTGTGTGTGTGTGTGGGTGTGTGTGTGTATGTGTATGTGTGTGTGTGTGTGTGTGTGTGTGTGTGTGTGGTGTGTGTGTATGTGTATGTGTGTGTGGGTGTGTGTGTGTATGTGTATGTGTATGTGTGTGTGTGTGTGTGTGTGTGCGCGCGCGTGTGTGTGTGGGTGTGTGTGTGTGTGTGTGTGTGTGTGTGTGTGTAGTGCGTACTCGCCTAATTGCACTCGCCTAATTGTGGTTGCAGGGGTCGAGGCTCGGCTCCTGGCCCCGCCTCTTCACTGATCGCTACTAGGTCCTCTCTATGCTTCCTGAGCTTTGTCATACCTCGTCTTAAAGCTATGTATGGTTCCTGCCTCCACTACATCACTTGCTAGGCTGTTCCACTTCCTGACGACTCTGAAACTGAAGAAGTACTTCCTAACATCCCTGTAACTCGTCTGAGTCTTCAGCTTCCAATTGTGACCCCTTGTTTCTGTGTCCCCTCTCTGGAACATTCTGTCTTTGTCCACCTTGTCTATTCCACGCAGTATTTTGTATGTTATCATGTCTCCCCTGACCCTCCTGTCTTCCAGTGTCGTCAGTCCAATTTCCCTCAACCTTTCTTCGTAGGACATTCCCCTGAGCTCCGGTACTAGCCTTGTTGCAAACCTTTGTACTTTCTCTAATTTCTTGACGTGCTTGACCAGGTGTGGGTTCCAAACTGGTGCTGCATACTCCAGTATGGGCCTGACGTACACATTGTACAGTGTCTTGAACGATTCCTTACAAAGGTGTCGGAACGCTATTCTCAGGTTTGCCAGGCGCCCATATGCTGCAGCAATTATCTGGTTGATGTGTGCCTCCGGAGACGTGCTCGGTGTTATGGTCACTCCAAGATCTTTCTCCTTGAGTGAAGTTTGCAGCCTTTGTCCACCTAGCCTATACTCTGTCTGCGGTCTTTGCCCTTCCCCAATCATCATGACTTTGCATTTGGCAGGGTTGAATTCGAGAAGCCAGTTGATGGACCACGTGTCCAGCCTGTCCAGGTCTCTTTGTAGTCCTGTCTGATCCTCATCCGATTTAATCCTCATTAACTTCACATCATCTGCGAACAGGGACACTTCAGAGTCTATCCCTTCCATCATGTCATTCACATATATAAAAAATAGCACTGGTCCAAGGACCGACCCCTGTGGGACCCTGCTCGTCACAGGCGCCCACTGTGATACCTCATCACGTACCATGACTTGTTGTTGCCTCCCTGTCAGGTATTCTCTGATCCATTACAGTGCCCTCCCTGTTATACGCGCCTGATCCTCCAGCTTCTGCACTAATCTCTTGTGAAGAACTGTCTTGAAGGCCTTCCTGCAGTCCAGGAAAATGCAATCAACCCACCCCTCTCGTGTCTTACTTCTGTAACTTTGTTATAAAACTCCAGAAGGTTTGTGACACAGGATTTCCCTTCCATGAATCCGTGCTGGTTGTCGTTTATAATTTTGTTCCGTTCTGGGTGCTCCACCACTCTCCTCCTGATAATCTTCTCCATGACTTCGCATACTATACACGTCAGAGACACTGGTCTGTAGTTTAGTGCCTCGTTTCTGTCTCCTTTCTTAAAAATGGCTACATTTGCCGTCTTCCATACCTCAGGTAGTTGCCCAGTTTCAAGGGATGTATTGAAGATTATGGTTAGTGCCATGCAATGCGCCTCTGCTCCTTCTCTAAGGACCCACGGGGAGATGTCCGGACCCATCGCCTTTGAGGTATCGAGGTCGCTTAGCAGCTTCTGCACCTCCTCCGTTGTTTGTATGTCATCGAGCACCTGTTGGTATATTCCCTGTTGGTGTTTCCCACTGTGCTATCTTCTCAGAGCCCTTCCTGTCTCTATTGTAAATACTTCCTTAAATTTCATGTTGTGTGTGTTTGGATCTAGTGTTCCAGCCAAGCACCGTGCTGGTTACAATAGGAGAGAGAACTTTCTAATTCAGGTAAAATGTGTGTCAGCATGAGAAACATCAGCTAAAGTATTTTTTCCATATTACCTTCCCTCACCAACTATACAACGAGTGGACATATAGTTTTGGTCCCTTCAAGGTCAGCGTCGTAAATTCACGTAAAAGTGGACGAGAGTCGAACTCGAGGCATCGCGTGAGAGTCCTGCACATGGCCCTGTGGTAGTGTACGATTTACATTTTATCAGGTTCGATTGATAATTGTATTCATACTGAAGCACTACACTTGTATTGCTCAAACCATGCTTGGGGAGTGGGAGGTAATCTGGTTTGACCCATGGGAAGACAGCTCTAATTCCCTGGATGAAGAGACCTTGAGCATCAAGGTACCGCCTCCCTTCTCTTGAAGGGCAGTGGGGTTACACCAAGTACGCCGGTATAAATAGATTCTTAGCTCTTGCTTAACTCGATTAGAAAAGCAGGCTAGATGTTGCAGACTTTAAATGTGCCCTCACAGGTACCATGCCACCCCAACGAACCAAGATTTTTTACTAAACTGTTGTTTTATTGTGTCGTCTTCTCCCTTATCACTGGTCAACTCGCTGGAAAAAAAAAAACAGAGGCATTCGAAATAAATGTATTCTTACCCGTACCAATCCAATTCGGTTAAAAAAAAAACAAGTCTACCCAACATCTCGCATCAGTCAAATTTATGTTTCGGCACTCAAGACAATATTGTCCCAGCTTGAAAATGTGCTGACTTACCTGAGTCTGAGTGAGGCCAAGTTTAGCGGCCAGCTCAGCGCGCTCCGGCAGAGAAAGGTACTGAGTCCTCTGGAATATCTTGTTGAGTTGTTGCAGCTGCAGCGACGAGTAGATGGTCCTGGGCTTTCTCATCTTCTTGCCTTTCCCGCCTACTCTCACGGAACCCTCGTCTTCTGGCTTTTCTGTAAAGAAATGAAATCTATGTTGGCCTTGACAAATGACAATGGAAAGAGGACATGAAGAAGCAGTCATTGTGAGGCGAATGAACCTCCAACAAACAGCACGTATCATGAAGAAGAAAAACAAAAACTAAGCAGTAGTAGTAAAAATATTTTAGTAATTTCATTATGCTGTTTAAAAACCACCTAGAAAACTAACACCATAACCTAACAATTATCAAGGGAAATATTTATATTGTAAAAAATTGAGATAGTGGGAAGAACTATTCACGAAGATAATAGCGGGGAAAAACTATTTTGGACATTACACAATACTTTGAGTCATAACAGTGTCGGTTGGCCAAATATAACTTTCCATTTTTGACTGAGTGATATATAAATTCACTAATTCCTTTCGACAGTAAAATAAAACAAAAGCCAGTAAAACAGTCGAAAGAGACGAACTTC